AGGGAGGGGAAGAGGGAAAATCTTATTCTAGACTTAACAAAAATAAAGTTAGAGCCAGACGTGGTGGCGCACGCCTGTAGTCCTAGCACTCGGGAGGCAGAGGCAGGCGGATCTCTGTGAGTTCAAGGCCAGCCTGGTCTACGTAGTGAGTTCCAGGACAGCTGGGGCTGCAGGGAGACCCTGCTTCAAAAAGAACAACAAAAAATAGAGAGAGAGAGTTAGATTTGCCCCACCAAACAAAACAAAAACCCTGAAAAGTCCTGCATGGTAGCACACGCCTTTAATCTTAGCACTAGGAGGCAGAAGCAAGTGGATCTCTGATATCCAGGCCAGCCTAGTCTATATAGTGAGTTCCAGGTCAGCTACAACTACAGGGAGACCCTGTCTCAAAAACTAAAATAGAGTTTGATAAAGCCAAACCACGTAATTTATAATAATGTCCCACTTCAACTATGCATAAGGGAAAGTCTCATTATTTGTAAGTAATTTAAAATTAAAATATGTTAATGGATTTTGAAATCTGAATAATGCTAAATTTAACCCTTTTTTGAAAATCAAGTTTTCTGAAATTTAACAAATTTTGTTATCCCCATTTCAAGATCAGAAACTTTGAGTTTATTCCATACACTCAGGAAAATGAGCTGTAGGTGGTTATAACTTTGTAACAGCTACCATTCCTTTATTTAACTTTCTCAAAATTCATCCTCTTAGTAATCCTGTCTCCTGAAATAAATATATCACTTTTCCATATTTTCACTGAGTTATTAGTGTAATGATTCCCAGCATCCTAATTTTTAGGATTAGCATCCTAATTTTTTTCTAAATAATATAAAGTATTCAGATACATTTTTACTACATTGCTATAGACCAAATATAATCCCCATTTTACTGGTCATGATGGCACTATAATAGAGATTTTTTTTTTTTTAATGATTTTTTTTTTTTTGGTCTTTCTGAGACAGATCTCCCTGTAGTGCTAGCTGACCTGGAACCTGCTACGTAGAACAGGTTGGCTATGCCTCACAGCCACCATGCCTGGCTATAATACAGATTTATAAAATTTATATGAAACTTTATATTAGGGGCTGGAGAGATGGCTCAGTGGTTAAGAGCACTGTTTTCTCTTGCAGAGGCCCCGAGTTCAGTTCCCCATACGTACATGGCAGCCAACAACCATCCATAACTCCAGTTCCAGGCAATCTGATGCCCTCTTCTAACCTCCATGGGCATTGCATACATGCAGTGCACTTACATACATGCAGGCAAAACATACATGTTAAAAAAAAATTCTCTAGGGGACTTTAGAGATAGTTCAACAGTTAAGAGCATGTACTGCTCTGGCAGAGGACCCAACCTTCATTCCCCAGCACCCATTGTCAGGTAGCTTAAAACACCTGGAACTCCAGCTCCAGGGGATCAGACACCCTCTTGGGGCCTCTGTGGGTACTGTACTCATGCAAATACCTACCCATAGACACACACATACGTATAATTTAAAATAAATCTTTTTTAAAATCTTTTTTTGGGGGGGTATTTTTGAGACAGGGTCTCCCTGTAGCCCCAGCTGGCCTAGAACTCACTGTGGCACGTGCCTTTAGTCAGCACTTGGGAGGCAAAGGCAGGCAGATCTCTGTGAGTTTGAGGCTAACCTGGTCTACATAGGATGTTCTAGGCCAGCTGGGGCTACAAGGAGACCCTGTCTCAAAAAGATAAAAAAAAATCTTTTTATTACACAAATAAAATTGTCAATGTTTTATTGTGCTTTAGCATTCCAATGTACATGTAGTTTTTTAGGGGGGATTCTTTATACTTTATGTGTATGAGTGTATTGCCTACATGTGCATAAGTGCACCTGTGTCATGAAATGCCTGTGGAGGTCAGAAGAGGGTGTCAGACCTGGAACTGGAGTTACAGATGGTTACTAGCCACGATGTGAATGTTGGGAATCAAACCCTGGTCCTCTACAAGAGCGGTCAGTGCTCTTAACCACTGAGCCATCTCTCCAGTCCCACATGTAGTTTAAATATTCAGTAAAACTTGATAGTTCATGCCTATAATGCCAGCACAGGAGGACTGCTACAAGTTCAAAGCCAGCCTGGGCCACATAACACATTTCAGGCCAGCCCAGATTCAGAACAGAAATCCAAAAAAGTTTAGCTTTTCAACTATTTGAAAGGCAGAGGCAGGAGGATCACTTGAATCCGGAAACATGAGATAAACCATTGCAACATATAAAGACTATCTAAAAATAATAATAAATTTATCAAAACAAAAAAGTACTAGCACTTGAGAAGTTAAGGCAGGAAGATGGTGAGTTTGAGCCCAGCCTGGGCCATTTTTAGTGAGTCCTTGTCTTGAAAAAACAAAAATGGAAACAAAGCAACACAAACCCTGTTGTTATAGTTTAGTATTTTATTGCATAGATGTATAGACACTAAATCACAATCTTTTTCCAAAACATTTAAAAAAATTTTTTTTTATTAGCCAAGTGTGGTGACACATGCCTTTAATCTCAAAAAGACCAAAAAAAAATTTTTTTTATTATTTTTATTTTACGTGTATGCCTGTACTGCCTGCATGTAGGTAAGTGCACCCGTGTCGTGCAATGCTTGTGGAGAACAGAAGACTGTTGGATACCCTGGAACTGGAGTTACAGACAGTTGTTAGCTGCCATGTGGCTGCTGGGATTCAAACCCAGGTCTTCTGCAAGAACAGTCAGTGTTCTTAACTGCTGAGCCATCTCTCCAGCCCCCAAAACTTATTTCTTAAAACTATTGAGGGATGTACGGAGAGATGACTCAGCAGGTAAAGGTGCTTGCTGTCAAGCCTGTTGACCTAAATTTGATCTCTGGGACCCACATGATGGAAGGAGAGAACAGACATCCCACAAGTTTCCTGTGACTCTACACTTAGGCTGTGGCACCCATGCTCCCCACATCCACCAAATAAGTGAAAAAAAATTTTTTTCTGGTCTTTTGAGACAGGGTCTCCCTGTAGCTCCAGCTGGCCTGGAACTCGCTATGTAGGCCAGGCTGGCCTTGAATTCACAGAGATCCACCTGCCTCTGCCTCCCAAGTGCTGGGATTAAAGGCAGGCACCACAATGCCCAGCAAATAAATATTCTTAATAAAAAAGCTATGACATTTTACAGATAACATTTTAAAGTGATCCTGCTTCCTTACATCATGCCCACATCTGATGGCGTATGTAGCTGATGAACAACTGAAATTGGCTTTTTCCCTCTCTCACTGAATTATTGGCTAGTTGTTTCAGTTTTATATGGATATAGACTGAAGAACTTCGTATCATAAAAACCTTCAGAGTGAGCTTGATTAGAGACTACACCATAAAGATTAACCACCACAATTAACTCTGTGCTTTGGATTCCTTCAGAGTGCTGGCACTTGCTTAGGTAAGGATGTAGAATTGCTATCTTGAAGTATAAAATTATAGTGTGAGCCAAGCATGGTGGCACAGGCCTATGAGCCTAGTACTTGGGAAGTGGGAAGGGAAGGGAAAGGGAAAGGGAGAGAAGGAAGGAACGTAGAGGCAGGGAGAGAGGAAGGAGGGAGGAAGAAAAGGAAAAGGAAGGGAGAAAGGGAGGGAGGGATTGTAGTTTGAAATACACGGTTATGCTGGAGTCAGAGGAATATTTTAATGTGAAATGTCAAGGGTGCCACTGAACATCACACCTGAATATATATATATCAATGTTCAGAGCCATGGTTATTACATTAGAGCATCTGTCGCTTACTTATTTTACATCATCATATAGTTTAATACTTTTTTTTTCTTTTTGGTCTTTTTGAGGCAGAGCCTCCCTTTAGCCCCAGCTGGCCTGGAACTCACTATGTAGACCAGACTGGCCTTGAACTCACAGAGATCTGCCTGCCTCTGCCTCCAAAGTGCTGGGATTAAGGGTGTGCACCACCAACCCTGGTGTTACTATTGT